GGATCGCCCTCTGCTTATCCATGAGACCGGTGTTCAGTGCCATTCCGGGGCCCGGGCCGAGCGATATTGCCTGGGAGCTCCCATTCGTTTCCCTCTTTTTTTTGGCTTTGGCTTGCTACTATTACATGTGTTTTCTGGATACTATTCCAGGACTTTCCTGCAAGAAGATTCTTGGGAGCGTATGGAGCTTGGAAAATCTCACGTTCGAGGGCTCGAGAACGAAACGTTGGTGGACTTGGCTCTACACTTAACCGTGAACCAGGGCTTGCCACCCGGCTGCCTCCAAGGCAACGAGCATATTATCACCACAGGTTCGAGAGCTGTTGTTCTTGCGATTATTGCTAGTTGTTGCTCGACGCAAGTGCACGCGTACTGCTCTTCTGTGCCTGGGTTCATTCTCAGCATGGTCGAGCCATGGACGCAGAAAGAGAGAGGCAACACCGTAAAACAAAAGCACACACAGGCAAATACATGCACTCAATCACCACCGAGCACTTACACATGCATGCGCATTCACATGCACGCATGCGGACATGCTCTTCAGCTCCATCCTTCTTTCGCAGGGTTGAGGGGCGAGTGGAGACACGTCTTTTCGTTGGAGGTCTGCTTGGCTTTGGACGATCTCTCTCTCTCTCTCTCTCTCTCTCTCTCTTTCTCTCTGTCCACTCAACAATCAGAGTCGCACCACCAGACCCAGCCCAGAATCCTAAAGCTGCAATCCTCGACCACAGCTCTGTGGAGCCCGGCCCGGCAGTGGCCGGCTTGCCCGTCGGGGGGGCGGGCTTCGCCGCAGGCTCGGCCTGACGACTTCTCCCTTCCGGCCAAACCCCTTTCCAAGCTTCTGCTGGTACGTGTCGTGGAAAGTGCAAATTGCAGGCTTGTCGGCGCTTGCAGCATACCAAAGAGCCCAATCATCCTGGAAAGGTGCTTCGCAGCAAATGCTTTGGGGCTCTGGCGTGGACCTCACAACTCATCAATTACTTGGAAAGCATCCAGAACACAATCCCCGCGCTCCAAAGCCCGTCCATGGCCTTGGCTTTTGCCTTGGCCTTCGCCTTCGCTTTCGCCTTCGCTTTCGGCTCCGGCACAGCCTTTCCCTGCAGTTGGCGGAGAAGAGAACTTGAAAACCACCGCGCTGCTGGTTCTATACATGTCAAAAGGGCGAAAAACTGCGGCGGGCTCTGGCAACAGCCAACTCCGACGTCGGAGTGACACACAGCTCCTGTATTGAAGAGCAGCTCTTGACTGCCGGGAGCGCTTGCCCCCCTCCCCTGCAGCATGTAGCTTCACCTCAAGCCTGCAAAGCCTGCAAGCCCGAAATCCCGAAACGTCCCTTTCCATAGGCCCGCGGACTGCTGAAACAGATCCCACCGGTGGGATCGGTTTTCTAATTTTTGGAACCTCCACCCGGGGCGATACTATACTATCCTGTAAAATACTATAATATACTACACCATCCTTTAAAATACTATAACATACTATAATGACCTATACATAGTACTACCTCTAGCACTAGGGTTGGCTGGCCTTGGACTTGGCTGTCGCCTTCGCCTTGGCCTTCGCCTTGGGCTCTGGCTCCTGCGAAGCCCGGGACCGGGGTACTTCATTTTGGGGGTCCTTATAATAAGGATCCTACCATTTAGGGGGTTCCTCATTTTGGCGGACGAAGGTCGTAGGTCGGATACAAAATCTTTGAGGATTCCCGCATTTTTGTTTTGCATTCAAACTTCCCCGGCCGGGCAAACTCCCCGAGGCGCGGGGGGGGGGGGGGTGGGGGCCGCGCAAAGCCGAACGGAGCTGCCGGCACTTCTCGTGGAGTTTGGATTTGGCCGCAGCCGCGATGCGATGCAACCAACACATTGACATCGCTCTTCGGTAGTATTCGCCTCAGGCATCCCTCAACAAAAGCGCCGGAGTTGTTTAAGGAAGCACGACAATAAGAGCAACAGCCAGTAGTTTTCGTAGTCATCGTCCGGGTATGAGTGCAAAAACTTGACGCTCCTGAAATACTTACGTGCGCAACAGGACCAAGAACAACGATGAATGCTATAGGCTATAGCTACTTCTGCTGAAATGCACGGGTCCTTTGCGGCCTTTCCCTTCTTCTTTGCCTCGGCAGCAGCTGGGGCAAGAGCTTCTTCTTGGAGGTTTGGGCCAATTCGGCGGTCGAGTCCGAAGCCGTCTCTTCAGACTTTGCTGCCTTTCAGCTTTCGCTTCACACGAAACGGACAAGCGGTCTGAAAACTTCTCCCATGGGCGCAATGATTCGAAGTTGTTCTCCCCCCATTGGCTTCGGCCGCTGCGGAGAGCGCCTATACACTTCAAACGCCGTGAGCCGCCAAATGCCGCCAAGAAACTGGCTTGCATTCTTCCCAGTACGCTGCAATTGCTGCCTTCTTGTACTTACCTGGGAGCAACCGCGCTTTCCTTCTATGTGGGGCTATCCGCCCTTCAAGGAAGGCTTCGTAATGTGAGGATACGAGACCCCAACACAGATCCTGAATAGTAGGAACCTGCGGTGGAAACCCTTAAGTATTCTGCTGGTGCATATACTCAAGGATGCAAGTGGATTTAGGAGTTGAGGTTGCGGGAATCGAGCTTGCGAAGGTGTGAAAGATAAGAGTTGGCAGTTGAAACTCGCTGGTTTTGCGCATGATGGATTCGGTGCATTTATCGGTTTGTCGCTGAGCTGGAGCACCACATCCTGTCCGCCAAATTAGCAAAGCGCTGATGGGTTTAGTGTTTTCTCTTGTCTTAGCTGGGCCGATTCTGCGCCGCTCTTCGCGGGTGGCTCCCGTGAGAGTTCCTGAATTCGTAGCTGGGGGCCTCGCCTCGTAGCGGGGGCTCTTACAGCGGCTAAGCGGCTTAGCTGATATCCGAAGCTAGGCGCCACAAACCCGAACCCCGAAACTCTCTCTCTCTCTCTCTCTCTCTCTGTCTCCATCGACGATCCCTTTTGATGCCCAGTCCCCCGGAAATTTCCGGCACGCTCGGAGCTCTGGTGAATCCTTCGGCCGGGCACCCTTGTAGTACTCAGCGAGTTCTTCATAGGTGTATGCCACACCATCCTGGCCAGCCGCTCTTGCGCATTTCCTCTGTTGTAAGAGACAGCAGTGACATCAGGTTTGACAGGCTCAAAGCCACTTTCGGCTAACTGTACCAAGCAAGAGCATCAGACAGCGGCAGTTGAAGAATAGAAAATGCAGGGCAACCAGCAGGCAACGTACAGGATTGGGGAAGAACTTGATATGCTAGCATGTTCTGAAACACTGAAACTGTTGAGGGCTTCAATGTTGAGTCCCACATCACTGAAACCCTCCATCATGATCATCATCCTCACAAACGTAGTCATCCTCGCAAGCTCATCATAATCCTTGTCCCCTCCCATCAATACTCCTCAACATCATTAGTCACTACCACCGCCACATTTCTCGAGACCCTGTCCTGGCCCTCAGCCCTGCTCCTGACTGAATTGCCGTCCCTGCCACCCTGTTTGGGCACATGTATCCTACTGCCTCGGGGTCGATGCGCTTCTCCGCAGCTGGCATGGTTGCCTTGGTGCGACTTCGCGAAGGGTTCTGAAGTTGTCGCTTTGAGGGAGGCCTCTACACGTGGCTTGGCGAGGGCCGGAGCCTGGAGCAGAATCATCCATTTATGAATTTCTGAGTGCTGCTGTCACATGTCGTGTTGCAGACCCGCGTCTAAGATGGGAGATGTGCAGGACCTCTTATTGTCATCATTATGCTCTAAGAATTGCTGCGTCCTTGTCATAATCCTCATCTTCATCATCATCATCATCGTCACCCTCATCGTCATCATAATCATCATGTTCTTCACCAGCATCATCACCAATCAGTATTTCCAGAATCATAATCGTTAACCTCATGCGTCATCACAACTCGCTCTTACCAGCACCACCACCACCACCAGTGTCACCAGAATCTCTAATTGACGTCATCATCGCCACAGGCCTCATTATCATCCCCATTACACCCGCTGAATCACGGCTCTCATCAGTCTGGGAGCCCTAAATGAACGTAACTTTGCGAGTTTCAAAACTGGGAGTCCCTGCAGGTGAAAGCCAATTTGGATCCTTCAGACAAGGACCCCGAAGCAAGGACCCCGTAACATCCGGCCCCACGGCCCCACCCCACAACCACGGGCCCCCTTGAACTAAGAAAGAACCCCCAATGCTAAGACTGTGCAACGACGTTCACTGTGATCCTATTATGCTTGAGCCAGCTCCGCATGACTGTGGCCTCGACTGACTGCGTGAATTGAGAGTCCTTGGCTTGGGTGCGTGGTCTCCTTCTTGACGAGGTTAAGAGCAGAGTTTAGCCGTTTAGCGAAGCCATATCAATGTCACGTTTCGGGTACGACCTTGCGGAGATTGGCCTTGGCTCAGGACACAGCCCCTGTAAAGTTGTAAACCCTCGAAGCATCCAAGCACCTTCCACATCACAAGCCTCCAAAGCTCCACGATTCAAGACTTTGGGCTTCGGAAGGGGAATAGGGTTGTCAATGCTTGGAATTCTCATGCTGTAGGCTATGCCATTTCAAGTGCAGCTCACTCGCGGCAACAAGAGGTAACCCGAACGACAGGCATCTTGCATGGAGAGCCAAGCAAAGGTCCCGAAGGCGAGTGTCGCAGGAAAAAGGTGGGGCGCACGAAGATGTGCGCAAAGTGGGACGGATACCTGTCTTGCATGTAGCATTCTCAGCTGCGAAGATCTCTCACACGCAGTGCACACCGCAAGTCAACCGCAAATCTCGTTCCAGCCCTGTCGGTTTTTGCACAAGTACTACTCGCAGCGCAAAGAACAGACCTGCTGCTACCAGTACTGTGCCCACCAGGACGACAACGAGCACCGCTGTTCCTCCCTTCTTTTCCCTGGCCTCGAGGAAAGTTGGCGCGTACGCCTGGCCCAAGGGGAGAGCCGAGCTTGGGCATCGGAGTTTCAATGCTTTCTGGAACTTCACAACACAGCAACACCCATAGATGAAAGAACGCCTGCAACACGAAACTTTCCCAGACAAAAACCGCCGAACGCGACCCTGCTCGGATACAGGCCAAGTTGCAAAGTGCAGCTCTCGCGGCGCTTGGAGGGAAGCACAGCAAGCTTGCAAGAAGCAGTTTCGGGCCAAGGAAGCTGCGGTTCAGGCCTTCCCACCGAGCGCAAGCGTAACGACATGCCGGCCGCGCACATTGGCCAACCGATGCGATCCTTTGAGCGCGCTCGCCGCACAAGTTTGTACACTACCCACACGGGCCAAGGCGTGCTGAGCCTTTCTGCTGGCAGCTATTGAAAAGGGTCGGTCTGCAGCTTTTGGTCTAGAGGTTCTGGCTTCGCAAATGCGGGTTTGCCTTTAAGGGTGGTGCTGGCTGTGTGGTGTTGGGCTGTCTGGGCCTCCGGGCTGCGCGTCCGAAGTCGGACTATCGCTACTCCTACCCGTCGAGAAAAACGAGCTCGTTTCGAATTGCTCAGGCCAAGCCGAACTGCTCGATGGCATCCTTGCCCGTGTAGACGTTGGCGGCGATGATGCCGATGGCTGCGAACATGGCCATGCGGCCGTTGTTGAGCTCACGGTTGCGCATCTCCAGCGTGTACTGGTTCAGGCCGGCCGGGTCGCCGAAATTGCCGGGCTCTTTGGAGGGGTCCTCGGTCCATGCGCCCAGTTCCAACAGTCCCGCAATGGCGAAGAGTGCTGCGAAGCCGTAGGTGCCCGGCGCGACTTCCACGGCACCAAGCCCCGCAGGAACGCTCTCGAAGCCAGGGAACTTCACGTAGTGCTGGAAGACGGCACCAACTGCCGCCATCATGGCAACCCTACCGTGCTTGATCTCGGCCGCGCGCAAGTTGCGGAAGCCAGCCTTGTCACCCTTCTTGCAGAAGCCGGCTGGGTCGAAGTAGCCGAAAGGCTCAGTGACGCCGACCTCGTTGGCAGGGTCAAAGCTGGGCTCCGGGGGAACGTCCTCGCCCTCGCTCAGCGACTTGCCAGTGCCAGCTGCGACGCCCGTGCTGGCGGCCACGCTCTTGGCTCCTGCGCTTGCGCCGGCCTTGGCAGCAGCGACCTTGGCTGCGGCGGCAGCCGCGGCCGCGGACACCGGCTCGGCGCGGAGCGGCGACGCGGTGTAGGTGGCCCAGTCACCCCAGGCGGATCCTGTGAGTCCATCCTGGAAGAACCTCAAATGCACAACATGGACACTTCAGCCTGCTCCTCCTGCATGGATGGAGTCGGAAACGAAGCTGCGCGATCCCATCTGATCAAACCAGCCCTTCCAACCACTCCAAAACCCTACGACTCTGTTCGCACGGAAGCACGAAGCAACTTCGCGGAAAGTTTAATTCCGTGGAGGAACATGCCAATGATGGCCATCATGGCCAGTCTTCCGTTTGCCAACTCCGCCGACAGCTTCTTGGTCTTCTCAGCAGGGTCCGAAGACGTCAGCACCTTGAAGCCATAGTCGCCGGGAGTGCCGCTCTTGTAATCATCGAAGCCGCCGCTGAACTCAACGAAGCCGAAATAGGCGGCAATCTGGGCCCAACCTGCCACAGGGACCTTGGACACTGCTGCAAGGCCGTTGGGGATATCGGCGAACTTCAAGCCAGCGGATGGGGACAGGAATCCTGGCCTCAGCAAAACAGAAAGCTTAGGTAGCGGCTTACGCACATCGAAACTTCGCTCGTCATGCTTCCCATCAAATATCTGAGGGTTCGACAGCTTGCCGGTGATCTCAGGGGTGATGTAACCTTGGGAAGCAACACTAAGCTCCAACATGCTACGCCGGCTCTTCTACACATGCGATGCTGCATCCAAACTGCGTTGATGCACATTCTTCAGTGGTCACGAGCACTGGGTCAGCTGCGATTCACAAGTTTAACGAACCTTCTTGCCGACTCGATCAACTTGAGGGTCAACGTTATGTAAGTGCCATCAAGTCGCCCATGGTCGCCATCATCGAGATGCGGCCGTGCTTCAACTCCACGGATCGGCGGCGCTTGAATGAGGCAACATCGCCATCGGAGGTGAAGCCGACGGGATCCCAGAACCCGACGGGATCCTGCACGCCGAGCTCGCTCTCGAACGCGCGCAGAGGCGACGCGGTGTAGGTGGCCCAGTCACCCCAGGCGGATCCTGTGAGTCCATCCTGGAAGAACCTCAAATGCACAACATGGGCACTTCAGCCTGCTCCTCTGCATGGATGGAGTCGGAAACGAAGCTGCGCGATCCCATCTGATCAAACCAGCCCTTCCAACCACTCCAAAACCCTACGACTCCGTTCGCACGGAAGCACGAAGCAACTTCGCGGAAAGTTTAACTCCGTCGAGGAACATGCCAATGATGGCCATCATGGCCAGTCTTCCGTTTGCCAACTCCGCCGACAGCTTCTTGGTCTTCTCAGCAGGGTCCGAAGACGTCAGCACCTTGAAGCCATAGTCGCCGGGAGTGCCGCTCTTGTAATCATCGAAGCCGCCGCTGAACTCAACGAAGCCGAAATAGGCGGCAATCTGGGCCCAACCTGCCACAGGGACCTTGGACACTGCTGCAAGGCCGTTGGGGATATCGGCGAACTTCAAGCCAGCGGATGGGGACAGGAATCCGGGCCTCAGCAAAACAGAAAGCTTAGGTAGCGGCTTACGCACATCGAAACTTCGCTCGTCATGCTTCCCATCAAATATCTGAGGGTTCGACAGCTTGCCGGTGATCTCAGGGGTGATGTAACCTTGGGAAGCAACACTAAGCTCCAACATGCTACGCCGGCTCTTCTACACATGCGATGCTGCATCCAAACTGCGTTGATGCACATTCTTCAGTGGTCACGAGCACTGGGTCAGCTGCGATTCACAAGTTTAACGAACCTTCTTGCCGACTCGATCAACTTGAGGGTCAACGTTATGTAAGTGCCATCAAGTCGCCCATGGTCGCCATCATCGAGATGCGGCCGTGCTTCAACTCCACGGATCGGCGGCGCTTGAATGAGGCAACATCGCCATCGGAGGTGAAGCCGACGGGATCCCAGAACCCGACGGGATCCTGCACGCCGAGCTCGCTCTCGAACGCGCGCAGAGGCGACGCGGTGTAGGTGGCCCAGTCACCCCAGGCGGATCCTGTGAGTCCATCCTGGAAGAACCTCAAATGCACAACATGGACACTTCAGCCTGCTCCTCCTGCATGGATGGAGTCGGAAACGAAGCTGCGCGATCCCATCTGATCAAACCAGCCCTTCCAATCACTCTAAAACCCCTACGACTCTGTTCGCACGGAAGCACGAAGCAACTTCGCGGAAAGTTTAATTCCGTGGAGGAACATGCCAATGATGGCCATCATGGCCAGTCTTCCGTTTGCCAACTCCGCCGACAGCTTCTTGGTCTTCTCAGCAGGGTCCGAAGACGTCAGCACCTTGAAGCCATAGTCGCCGGGAGTGCCGCTCTTGTAATCATCGAAGCCGCCGCTGAACTCAACGAAGCCGAAATAGGCGGCAATCTGGGCCCAACCTGCCACAGGGACCTTGGACACTGCCGCAAGGCCGTTGGGGATATCGGCG